AAAAATTTATTTTTTAACTATTAATATTGACAAAAAAATATTTAGAAGGGCTAATATTGCAATAATATATAATTAATTGCAATTAAAAATACAAACTGAAAACTTACATTTTTAAATTTAAATTGGAAGCTATTTATATTTAAAGTTAACTTAAATACACGAATAAAAATTTGAAATTATTTACTAAATAATTATTATAATTTAGTTGATATTTAAAACCTTTGAAGAGTTATAATCCCCCATTAAGATAAAGTATATAATAGGCATATAAATTAGTAAAATCTGAGCAACAATAAGTTTTTAGTTCCACCTCAAGTAGTAAAAGCTAAATAGTACTAAAACTCGAAACAGTTTTTAGTTCCACAAGCTAAGCTCATTTTTGTTTTTCTGTTTTTCCCATTACTTCTAAGTTGCTATAAATTACGTCATTCAATTAGCTCGCTTCTGACCCGGGTATTAATATGGATTTCTTTGCATTTGGAACTCTTTTACAGGAGGGCAGCATTGGTCACGATCTGGTCATTAAACCTTTGCCACACGAGCTGAGCCCCAACAAGGAGCAGGCCCATCACATTGTCTTCAAGCGTGCGGCCTCAGCCGCCGACGATCAACTGAGTGACTTTGGTAAGTATCCCACATACTCCAGTCTTGATATATGGGCCAGAAGTCCGAGTTACTGCCGCAGTCATCTATTATGAATTATCATAGCGTAACTTCTTTGGCTCTGCCCTCACCTTGGCCTGGCATTGATACCCATATCACTCTTCGTTTGTGCCGCTGCGGCGCTTATCGGCAGCTGCATCTGCCTCTGCATCTGTATTAGTAATGGGCACATTGAACTAGAAACGAGCTCTAAGCTCTAGCATAAATCTGTCCGTCTGCGAGCCGCGCCGTTGAGCGCGAGATCGACGTGCACATGATTAGCATTTCCTGTTCGCTGTTTTGGCGGCTCTTACGGCGGGTTCACGAACTCTCGATGTCGCCGCAGCCGGTGAAGTAATCGACGTTGTCCTTCGACGGATGCATTTACCTTTCGATCAAGTGAGGTGCCGGTCGGTGGCGCCAAAATACCAACGCGTTAATTCAGCTGCCCTATAAACACGGCTACTTTATGGATGGTATTTCAGCATTTACAGCAATTGCAGAAAACAATTTCGCGCCGTCTGCCAGGGCGCTGCCTCATAATGAGCCAAAAATTAACTTTAAATACAGTTAAATGTACTGCTACCTGACTTGCTCAATAATAATAAAAAATAATTAAGCCATTGCACCGCATTGCGATTCATTAGTCAACCTTAACTAAGCTCCACTTGTCTCCATCTCTTCTTCTTCTCTGCTCTTCTCCCCTCTTCTCTTTAGCTTTCATGGAACCCGACGATTTGCTGGCCAGCGAAAAACTTGAGCGTCTGCAGCGGCGTCAGCATCGCAGTCGACGCAGCAGCGGCAGCAGTCCCGACTTCGAGGACCTCAACGATGAGGACGAGGGCCAGCTGGACACCGAGGCGGAGCCGGCCGAACCCCAAACCTCAGAGTCACGCGTCCGCCCCAGACGCCAAGCCCCATACGTCATCTATCCCGAGGTCTTGGTGATTGTCGACTATGATGGATATCGGCTGCATGGCGGTGACAACCTGCAGGTGCGTAAGGCTGCCCATGCAGGGCGTGGCACACAAATGAAGCTGTCAATGCTTGCCTGGGGTTTGCCAAAAAAACAAAACACACACACACACACAGTCTGCACAGTCCCAAATCCAAGCCCAGTCTGGAGATTTGTAAAAGTTGTTTCTGCTGCTCATTTCGGCGATTGGCAGATAGCAGGCGACGTGTCTATAGAAGACAGGCTGCACATATTAATTGGGCAGCCGGGCAGCACGAAATAGCATATAAATCGGAGCTCTAGCTCGGGTAATTGACAGAGCACGCAAAGCACCTCAAAAGAGAATTAAATACCATTTGGATTCTAAATATAAATGTGAACAACTGACTTAATATAAAGTGAGCATAAAGTGCCTAGGCGGTTGATTCTATCATTTCAGCTTGGGCTCTGCGTCTGCAGACTCAGCTGAGGCACAGTTCTTAGCCTCGCCGCCACAGCTGCTTCGTATGCACATCACTCACGCGCGGAGATTAATGGGGCTGCGCGGCTTGGGTGCGATCTCTCATGGGGCCATAAGCGGCTTAGATTAAAGATGAAACCATGCGCTTTGTCTCTGACGAATGTGGGCAGAGCAGAGCTGTCAAATTTGAAGATCAACTACAAGTTCTACATCCATGCAGATTTATTTTAGTTTACCCTTTGTCTCTCTGCAGGTCAAGAGGTACTTCATTTCGTTCTGGAACGGCGTCGATTTGCGCTACCGCCTGCTGAAGGGACCCAGAATACGCATCAGCATCGCTGGCATCATTATCTCACGTGTAAGTACACTCTATTGCACAGTCGTTGCACAATAGTTAAATATCATTAAGAAACTAATTGAGTAATCCGCTGGCCAAGTCAACTCTGACCCCCAGCCAAATGGGGGGCATTGCAAATGGGAGCAACTGTTGGCCGCAGGCAATGCAGCCAAACTTTATCACGATTCGGTGGCCAATTGGTAGCAATAGATAGAGAGGAAGGGGGAAGAGAGAGAGGGAGAGAGAAGGAGCTATATATGTAGAGAAAACCCAACAACATGCAACGCATGCGCTTCGGATTCGTTTGAAAAAAATGTGAACAATCAATTTGGCTATTTGCTTGGGCCATAAACAAAGCAAAGCTACAAATTTTAACAAGTTTTTTTTAAGCAGTAAGCAGCAACAACAACAAAGAGAGCGCAACACACAAAATACGTTGCTAAATGCCTAAGGAATTAGCAAATGCCGCAGCACGCGAACAAAAGACTCAGGCAACGAACTTGCCGCAAATAGAAATGTCGATTGGCAGCATATATGGCTAGCTGGCTGGCTGGCTGGCTGGCTTTCTGGTTGATTTGTTGCCATTAATGCTTGATTGTCATAATTCGCAACAACATCCTTCGGTAGCTTATGCAGTCCATGCAGCGTCTTCGAGCGCGCTTGCATAACGCGACCATAAAACACTCTCGACAACATTATTGCTCGAGCTCGTTTCGACTTTCTCACACACAAGTCACAGTTCAGGAAGCCATTTGCCAGAGAGAAGAGCCTGCCACCAGTCGACCCACTCATGTGTGTGCGTGTGTGTGTGTGTGTGTGGAAAGTGGAAAATTGGCGCAGTTTTGGCATGGCTGGCACCTGCATCAAGCAGCCCACATGACAGCGCATGGCTTACCCTAAGTACGACGAGACACACATGTAAACAACAAAAAACCGTTTTAGACAGCATAAATAATGCAGCAGCAGCAGCAGCAGACAAGGCTTGCGCTTGCTGCTGCGTTTGTGGCAGTTACATAATTTAATGGGCAACTCAGTTGAGGCTCAGATTTCTGCCCAATTTCAAGCAGCGACTTCCTCTTCTATATATATATATATATATATATATATACATATATACACGTCCACACAACTTGTCGCAACTGCATCCGTCGCTAAACGTTTTGCTTGTGCGCTAATTAATGTTGAAATTTATTTTGCTGCCCATAAACAACAAATCCGAATGCGAATTTATGACACCAAAATATGTAGCCGCAGTAGCGCTCAACTCGGTGCCCGACTCAAGACTCAAATTGGAAATCCAAATCGAAGTCGGGGCAAAGTAATTACTCAGAATTTATATCATATGATATTGCATATCCGATAAGCCGCTGATGTCTGTTTGCAAATATGCAAAGGCTTAATGGAACTGAAACAAAGTCACGCAGTGCAGCTGAATGAAAGAGGTGTGAAGAGGTGTGGAAGAGAGCAGAGCCTGAATAATCATATATCTTTATGACAAATTAAGTATAGAATGTAATTTGGTATATGTGATATAGATATTTAATGCTTTTTATTATTTATTTAGAAGTTAGTGATAATATTAAATTAGAGATAACTTAGAGAGACAAGCACTGGATGCAGAGGCCTTTAGCTCTTATTCTTTTACATTTTGTATTGCAGTTGTCTTATTTGCTTACTATTATTTTATTTTATAAAATACGTGAAATAGAATTATATGATATATATTTTATGAAACATTTTCATAAGATAAGCAACAAGTTAATCTGCAAAGGATTGCTTAAAATATTATATTAAATATATTCTTATAGCTAAACAATTCTGTCATATTTACGGCATTTGCGAAAAAAAAAAAAAAACAAATAAATAAATAAGCACTTAAAATATGATAATATAATCTATGACTCTTCCATAAGAAGACTGCCTCACTCTCAGTATCTCTCACTTTTACTCTCTCTTTATCTCGCTCACTCACGCTCACTTTTACTCTCTCTATCTCTTATTTTACTTCTCCTCTCTCCTTCCCCCTCTCACTCTCATCCTCATCACACTCCATTTTACTCTCATTGCCTTCCTTTCTCTCACTTTTACTCTCACTCTCACTATTCCTGTCACTCTCTCTTTCTCACGCCCTCACTCTCCCTTTGGCTCTCTCTCTCACTCCCTCCCACATAAATCTGAATACTTCTGCCCACTAATGCGCGCTGTAATTAGAGCGTCAGAGCAGCTCAATTAATCACTTTTGTTTTTGCATGATTTTCCTGATTTTGAGCTGTGGGCAATCATAACAAGTCGCAGCTTCAGATTTATCTGGACACTGACACCGCAACACCGACACAGACACAGCTGAATGAGATAATTAAATGAATTGGCGTGGGCAGCTAGCATTGTATGTGCGTGTGTGTGTGTGTGTGTTGGGCTACTGTTGCGCATGGTCGACCGATTGAACTTTTATCTGTGACATTTAATTAACATTTTAATTAATTGCGGGCAACTTTCCGTTAGAATTGAGTTACACCTGCCCAGGGGCAGAGGCAGGGGCGGGGCGGTGCAGCTTCGACATCATATCGTACGGCCGCCAGCCGCCAGCGCGACAGTCCGACAGCTGTACAACGTGTCGAACGTTGCGCTTGCGCCACAAACATTTTTCAATGCGGCAACATTGCGTATACGCAATTTATTATGTGCGTGTCGAGCAAGAAAAAATATAATGTATATGCGTGTGCGAGTGTGTGTGCATTTAATATAGCAGCAAATTGTAATTTGAGCGCTGTATACTAAACTGGCCCACACTCGATTAGAATTTCAGTTTAGCCATAAATTGAAGTTTTTGATGCATTATTAAGTTGGCAAACTAAGAAGAAAAAAAAAAAAAAAAAAAAAGAAAAATAAATAAACTAGGTTGTCAGCCAAGCGCCAAGCGCCAAGCTTATTGTAGTCTCACTCTCTGGGGAGGGTCTGCCAGCGGGTGGTGGGGGGCAGTTCAATGCATAGATTCAGCCTTGCAGATATTTTGTGCGTTTTGTTGTCGATTAATTGCGCAAATTTAAACAACACAAACATTTTGCACTTGCCTCTAAGTAATTCTGCTGGTTATTTGTCAGCGACTGATTAATTTATGTGAATGAATGTGCTCGATTGATAAAATATGGCTAGCATATGGCGGACTAGTGCAACTCCTGCGAGCATTGAGGTCAAGAGCTCAAATGGCTATTCAAAAGAGGCCTTGAGTCGCTTGCGTCTATAAATCAAAATGCGAACAGCCCGAAAGAAAGTGTTTTAGAGTCAAGCGACGCACTTGTAGAATTTGCATTCAGTTGCAAACATTTTGAGGCTGTCAATCAACAATCTCCACTCAGGCTTATCTACTTGGGTTTATCAGTGTTCGGCTGCGGAAATGCTAAGTAATGCACTTTGCCACACCCAGACCAGATCCGAATCCAGATCGAGATCCCAAATACTTATGCGACTCATAACATATGTCATAACAACAAATTCCGAACTAACGAAGTTTCCAATTCAAGTAGCGACTCGATCCAGGTGTTGGCCCCGGGCTAAAGCTGTGCCTCTGTCTCTCTCAACATACATATGTCACGAAGCGGCTAGCTGGAAAGCTTATCGCCAGTAGCTGAAAATGCTGAAAATGCAAGTGCCACACATAAATTGCTGTAGAGGGAAGGAAAAGTATGGCTGGCCGACTTGACCCAAAGGCCCAATATATTTATGTATATATTCAAAAAAATAACGAAATTCCATATCAAATGTAACCCAAAGCCGACAACGCCGTGGGTGGTGTCCGAAAGTCGCCACCGGCTGTCGCCCAATTCCATTCCCCCAAAACAAAAACAACAAATAAAACCCAAATCCAATGACTGTGTGGGCGCAGCCAAAGCGTTTGTCATTGCGCTGGAAGTAGGAGTTGCGGCTGGAGCTGGAACTCACTCTGGAGTTAGTTGGGTGGGTGGGTGGTTGGTTGGTTTGGTGTGGCTTTGGTTTCGAAATGATGGAAATGTAAGCAACTAACGACTAAGCATGCCGTTTGACAGTTTTTGCTTTTGGCCAGAGATTTATGCGCCCTGTAAATTAAATTAATATATTAAGTCGCCAGGCGGCAAGACTTTACATTTAATTACGCACAAAAGCAATTGCAACATTTCTGAGACAGTCGAGCACAAAATTCAACAAACCGAAATAAAACAAAATAAAGCCATATCCATTTTTGGGAAAGGCAAACCGGTCTCCCAGTTGCCAGCCTGGTTACATTTTAGGTACTATTCGATCGCACTCACACTCGCACTCACACTCGCTCACGTTGCTGGCAAGCTATTAATGTGAGCCACCCCAAAGCAGACAAAACTCACAGCTCACAACTCGCCACGCGGGTCGTATGTGTAATATTTCTAATGGCTGCAGCCACACAAATTAGATTACCTGACAAATCAGTCTTGTCTAATCGAATAAAATATGCGCACAGCTTGCAAAATATATTCCAAAAATATATATAATATGCATATATATGTATGCAAAGCTGTGACATTTGGCAGACTGCAGAGCGAGCCACAATTGCGCAATCCAGGCTTTGCGTCTCAGCCTCCAGATCCCAGGTCAAGTCTTCTGCAAAGCGAATCGAGTAAAACTTTTCGCCTGCTTATTTCGAGTTTTTTTTTCTATATATATTATAAAAAAATATTTGACGGTGTATATTTACTTTAATAATGATGTTCTCCACAAAGAAACAGTAGAATAAAATTTATTTAATATAAAAATTGTACAATATGCATTTCTAATAAAAGCTTAGGTGAAATGGCTAAAACTTTTTATTATATAATTACTTTTGCTTGAGTTGATGAGATTGAGATTTTCTAAAATACTTTTATGCCCCAGCAGGGTTTTTCCTTGAGAAGCCTTTAATAACTCAAATATTTTATGTAGTGAACATTTTAATTAATTAATATGCTCGAGTTATTTCTGATTCAAAAACATGAATTTTGTCTTTTAAATTATTAATTATATCTATGTTTTTTTATATCTAGCTCGAGCTTTTAGTAATTATTTTCTTTTAATTTATTAATACATAATTATAAATTATTATTACATACAGCTTTTTTTTATAAAAAATCCCAATAATCTTTTTTATGGCAGACTTCTTAAGAAAATCAGAATATATAGAAGTATGTATATGTATAATGTATATAAGTATTGAATAAAATAATATGTATATCTAGATGATAAAATCACAAAAAAAAAATAAAAACAAAAAAACAAAAAAAAATTATTAATATATCATATGATTAATGAACTGGCAAAAAAAACATAAATAAAAAAGAAACTTTTAAAAAAGTATAGTCAAAGAGATAATAGTTTAGCCGAACAGATTTATAGACTACTCAAGCCACTTCTTATACTTCGATATATTCTTTATATACTCTTAGCAGCATCAACTAATTGCAATATGAAATTGCAAATATTTCCCATTTATGGACGCCTTGGCCATAAGTCGCGCATTAGAGTATTACATACAAGCACGCAGATCTCTTTCGGCTGCCATTGAGTTGATATTTATTTACCTTTGATTAGCTGCTCAGCCATGTGTGTTATCTAGCTCAAGTGCTCATCGTTCATCGCTCATCGCACAGCGCGGCGGCGGAGGCCTTCAAAGATGCGCATCCACTTCAATTTTGGAATACCGATCGTAAAAGGCGTCGCAGCAGCTGTAATAAACTCGTATCGGCTGCACTAGTCAAATGAATCGGAGCTTGGCTATAATTTGGCATATAATTCGGTATAATTTCGTAATTCCACAAAATATTCCCAGCAACGTGCGTCGAGCGTTGCCTTTTACCAATAATCAATGGCCCAAGGTCGCCCGTCGGAACATTTAAAATTCTTGTTAGTTTTGTTGAGACGAAAAAAAAAAAAAAAAAAAATACCGCAGAAACAACAAAAATGTACCAAATATTTTCGTAGCTTGATATGGGAGACGTGCCCGCACTAACAATTGATCAATCTGTCGAATTGTCAATTATTTAGTTGAAGATAAAGTAGATCAAGACAAAGACAAAGAGCTACAAGTATATAGATATATAGCACTCGGCAGCATTTGAATGGGTTTGAAACTATTGCCGGGTCGAGGAAAAGATTTGCCAATCCAATGAAATTTCTTGGCTAAGAAATTCTTATGCATACAATATATGTACATATATAGAAATATATGGCTAATAGATTTATTTTGACTGCAGTTCATAAATGTCGATAATGCGAGTATTATAAACAATCTTAAAGACTAAGGTGTAAATATATAAAAATATACATATATCTATATATATAGTCCAGACTACTCAGTGAGTGGAGCAATATATCAAATGCATTGGCGCGACACTCGACGATCAAGCGCAGTCAGAATGTATCTGAGTATCTTGCGGATACATTTGTAAGTTGAAGCTATGAACGCAGTGACAGCTAACTTACTTTTATCACCTGCACTTTGGGGCCTGTCTAACGGGTTCCATATAGCAGATTATGGGATATTAACATATTGATTAGCCCAGGGCTCGACATGATTGACAATTGTGTTACAATAATTTATGTAGCTGTCACCTCAGACACAGAAAGAGACAGTGCGAGAGATACAGTAATACAGTAACGCCCCTCAGTCACGATAGCGATGCAAACAGCAGAGATGAATTATATAACGCACAATTGCAACTAGTTTGTAGATGAGCTTCTTCTCCACACGACTTTGACTTTGCCACAGAGACACCATTTCCAATTCCAACTCCATTTCCAGCATCTCTTTGGCTTCGTCTCTTTTATCGCCTCAGTCGCATCGCACGTTTTTCATGTTCACTTGTTTCCGTTTGGCTGACAGATTCCGCCATAAATGTTTCCCCCGCACACTCACACACGCACACACACACACACATTTGCTTCACAGGCTTCCCTGGCGGCAACTGCAGCTGGTTCCTGCCTACGCCAAAGTGTTTGAACACTTTTAGCGCTGAGTGGGCCATAAATTTCGGATATTTCCCATTTGTTTGCCGTGTCTTGTCAAATGCTACGTCCATTGCATAACAAATCCAATGCGAGTACTTGATGGCTGATAGTAATAGGTATTTTATTAAAGGCTCAAACACAGTCGATGGATAGACAGCAATTCAGCTGCATTTTCTCTTTCTAATTTTAAAGAGCTGAAATGGTAGAGAAAGTGGTAAAGTAAAGCTGGTAGACCGAAGAGGGCCTTAGCTTCGAGTCTATGGAACGGATATAAATATCCCAGACATCGGAGTATTATTATCGCCTTCAGTAAAATAGCAGCTGGCTATGCATTTTCATTGCCAATAAACTTCCCATAATATATATATATACATATATAT